ACATTTTGGTATTTTCTTACATGTGAAATTAATTCTTTACAATCACATGACTGTTTTTATAGGATTTTTTTTTCCATTGGCTGTAGCATAGGATTTACAGGAAAGAAAGTTCTGCCCGTCGTTCATAAGACACTGTATAAAATAAGTAAGAAAGAACATTTTATCAGGTTTGGCCATTTCCCTTATAATTGGACAAACTGTAACACATATAAATCACATCATGCTGACTCGTTCAATTAGTCTTAATCACTTTGTATGACATAATTGTCTGTATTGGTTGATATAGATTTCAGGCACTGGAGTTGCGGGTAGGGAGGGTAATTTTCTTGTGAAATTGAACAGATACCAATTCAGTTCTCACTACAGTAAATATCCTCAAGATTAAAGAACATGTTAAGTAACAAAAAACACTATAATACTCTGCCTTTCTGTTTCTGGGTTGATATCTGCCATTAATTGGTCTCATTACATCAATTAAAAGAATACTTAATCTTTAATATTGGATATGATCAAGATCAATATCTAATCCACCATGTTTTCAAACATTTCCCAAATGAAATGTATTCTTCTTTACATTTTCAGCCCCAAAAAAGAAATATACTGTATATGTTTGGACTGCCTCTTCTGAACCCCCTCCTCTGCTTTTTCCACTGTCCACTTGATCCCTCTGACCCGAAATACAGCAGAGTGGACCCCCCTCCCTCCTCCCTATGCCTGCGTTTCCATTTGTCTTTTATTATAACTTTTCTCTGAATGCTGTAGCCCAGGGGTGCTCAATACGTCGATCGCGATCTACCAGTCGATCGCAAAGGTAGTATTGGAAGATCGCATTACATATATATATAATTTTTTAATCCGTTTATGCATTTGCGTGTGGACAGAGATAACCGGAGTTTTGCGTTTTTTGCACGGCACAGTTTGCCCCCAAAACAACAACAACAACAAACAAAACGTGCGACCTCTGATCACTAAAGCATGGATCATACAGCGGTTCACAGCAGCGATCCTCGCTCCACATCAGAGAGCAGCAAAGTGATCACACACGCTCGAAAACAACCAAAACAGGAGCTAAACCAGGATCAAACCAGGGCTGAGGACTGGGGTCAATGCTTGTAAACATATGTCTTCACCATGGATCTATAATAACACGTCTTCACCCTGAGTTTCTACTATGACAGTGCCGCTACAGAACGAAAGTTACGAATATAACTTTGGTTCTATGAATCCTGGATGACCGCCAGAGGCGGTGCTTAAATGCAAATTATTTCATAAATCATGCGGTTTTGCATGTACATCAACATACATTGTAGATATAAAGAATCCTCAATATATTTAGACATATATATATGTTTTGCATTTTTATAGTAGGTAGATCATTTTGACTTGATCATTTTATAAGTAGCTCGCATGCTGAAAAAGTGGGAGCACCCCTGCTGTAGCCTATGCGGAAAATCAAACACTGAAATGCTCACAAAATAATGTCAGCAGTTCCAAAGATTAGGTTCATTCTACAATTTTAATGAATGACTCCCCTCTGTATAAATATGTCTATTATAATCCCTCTGGTTCCAATAATAGTTTATAGGTCATTATTGTCTGTTACAACTGTTCAACCTGGATGCAACTCAACTTCTATATTCAGGCAGTTAACACAGTCCAACTGTGCATGTCTGAAATAATACTATGTCTTTACCACGAGAATCAATAAATCTATGTAATAGATGCTAGAACAAAATAAAAGTTTACAATTGTAAATGTAAATGTCAACTTAAAGCTCATGTCCCTAACCTTCTTCTTTATTTTTGATATATATATATATATATATATATATATGTATATATATATATATATATATACATACATTTAGCTGGTCCCCAATTGAGTACGTTTTTGTGAACAAATCCGACCACAGCTCTCTTTTTCACAGAAACATTGTCTCTAAAGATAGACGTCTGAGAGACGCCAAAACTAGAGGTGACAGATCATCTCATAATGAGGCTGTGCCAACCAAGCTATAACCACCAGCATTAACATGTGGCCCGAAATGCTTGCAATGTGTAGCAAAAAAATCTTCATTTTCACCAATGAGCTATGTGGACTAGAAAGCTATGCATGATCTGAGACCACCAAGAAATTAACAGTCTAGGATCACTTTTACAAGTGTTGGGCTCATAATTCTAGCGTGACTCTCGCCAGACCCTTGTAGTTTGCTGAGCTTCAGAGAAGGGTCTGGGTCTGCTTCATATCGAATGAATATCAGAAGGCGGGGCCTTGTAAACAAATCCTTGTATGTGATTGGATAAACCACTTGTCTGTTATCTTGAATGACGTGTTCCTTCAACCATTCACACAATTCAGCACATGACACCTCACTGCGTTGCAGGGTTTCCAAATTCCAGCAAGATTTTCCAGCCCAAAACCTGCATGAATGCCCCCAAAAAAAACACCCAGAATAATGTTTTGGCTAAAAACGTAATGCAATCAACGTGGGCTATCATGATTCTGTTTTTTGTCTTTCTGTCTATTTATTACCTACAAGTCGCTTGGAAAAAAGTATGCACCCTAACTTTCACACTATTCCTTACCCTTAACCTAACTCTAGTCCTAATCACAGTGACAACCCTAACCTTGACCTTAACTCTAACCATTGTGAACCCTAGTCCTAACCCTTACCATCGTGATCCCTAGTCCAAACTGTGACCATTCTGAACCCAGTGTCCTAACTCTAACCATAGGTAACCCTTGTCCTAACCATAACCATTGTAACCTCATGCCATGGTAAACCGTTGTCCTAACCTTAGCCATAACCATGTGAACCCTAGTCCTAATCTGAATCTTAGACCTAACCTCTCACTCCCAACGAAACATTGATTCTGGACTATTTACTGTACTTGGTGATATCAGATCAGAATGCTATAGTGTAGTACACGCCAAGTTGTCATGTTTTTAAAGTCCTGTTTCTGTGACTGAAAAAGCTGCAAACTATTCACTGATAACCTCCACATTATAAGTCTGGCTTTTCATTCTATCTTATTGTACATCCCATTCTGCTGAGTTTGCAAACATGTGCAAGAATACGGCTCCATAGCAGACATTAACAGGGCCAAATGTGTCTACCGCGACGGCGTCTTACATCACATGTCACCGGAGTGGAGTGACAGGTGAGCCCTCAGGAACTGCAAATGTGGCTCTCTGTCACATGGTTAGTGACTCTGGGGACATACTTTCTCCGAGTAATCCCACTTTTGTCTGCTTCAAATTATGTTAAAACTGCAGAGATTGCTGTATCCACCAGCTATAATTTACATAGCTCAGACATGTACAGTAGTTATCAAGGAATCAGCTTACAGCATCGGTGGCAAAGTTACGGTACACTGGATTTGGGCCAAGAATGCAGGTTTAAATGTCAGAACTGCATGGGGGCTTTCTGTGTGATGTTTTGCAGACAAACACCTGCACCTCCCTGTCTGATACCAAAGCCAAAAAGAAGATTCCTGAAACTCAATGCAATAAATCATGGACTGGTGATGCAACGGCTTTACATTGTCTTGGACACAGAGAACTTTTGCACTAGACTTTAATACAATTTTTTTCTACGGATTTATGCATACAAGTATACATTTAGGCACTAGATTATGCAGAATTGTGTACTTCTATTAGGCTTAATGTAAAGTTTATATCTTATTTTATTCTATTTTTTTGAGCTATACTTAATATCTTGTGTTGTGTGCTCCTAATTCCAACTGTTCTGTAACTTGTGATGAAACGCATAGAATCTCTTAATCTTAATCTTAAACTTTGCATGATATAGATACACCTAATGTTCAAAATGTACTCTATTTCATCTTATAATGTGCAACTAATATAAGACAGACTCATTATACACTGGGATGTGTCAAGTTGCATATTATGAATTCGTATCACATAATTGTCTCACATTTAGGTGAACTGATTGGATTTTTTTATGATATTCTGCATTTCCAAGTTTCACCAGCCTGAGAGACTATAGTAGTGCATTAGTGCTTTTAGTATTTGCTTGTTTCCAAATGTTCTTCCCCTAAACCCTTGTCATTTGATATCCAATGTTTTTTCTATATTGTTTTTCATGTTTTGTTGTCTATTGTGAACACTGGGCCTTTCTGCACAACTACTCTAATGTTTTTTCAAATGCAAATGAAAACTAAACTGGATTGAAATTTAAATCCGAGTGTTAAAAAAACCCAATGAAAATACATACAGGTCCAAATAACGCAATAGAAAAATCTAGTAAGAGGTACATTATACACATGAAGAAAAATATAATAATTTTAAAATCCTTTTTAAAACACTTTTTATTGGAATTTTTTTATACCTGAACCAAGAATTTTTCTCAATTTAACTTTTTAAAATTGGATTGCAACAACAGCTTTCCTGGGGCTCACTGATACAAACCTTGCAGTCAATCTGCCTCTCCAGCCATCATAAGATCACTGTAACATACATTTTTTACTTTTTAGTTTTTACTTCCTTACAATCTGTCAAAGCAGTGACATAATTATTATGACACTGACTGACACTGATATATTGGAACCAGTCAAACCAGCTTTCATTATGAAGGTTTGAGGTAGTTATACAGTGCACTTAGTCCTCCTTGGAGCACCTCCTGTATTGGTTTTAGGAGGGGATTATGAACAATATGAAGTCCTTTATCCAGCGGGTGACAAGCCAACTTCCCCAGCCGATTCAGCAAATACATCTGCACAGGGACACTTTGCAAATCATTAAAATCCACGTTTAACAGCTCCAATGACTCAAGCAGGCAGATTGTCTTGGGAAGAGAATGCAGACTATTTCCTTCAACTATTAGGATCTTTAGATTTACCAAGTCTTGTATCTGGTCTGCAATGGTTTCCAGTCTATTGCAAGCAAGATGCAAGAACACCAATCTTTTCATGTTATAGACACAAGTCGGGATGATAGCGATCCGATTATGGCTGAGGTTAAGTTTGGTCAGATTCTGCATGGACGCCAAGCTGTTGGGCAGAGACGAGATCTGGTTGTTGGCCAAGCTGAGCACTTCTAAGCACGTGCATGACCCCAGCTCCTCCGGAACCTCGCTCAGTCTGTTCCGACAGGCAAAAAGAACACGCAGTTTCTTCAGGAGTCCAATCTCTGGTGGTAAACTCGAAAGATTGTTGCCCCAGAGGTTAAGGATGACCAGATTGTCCAGTGCGCCAAGGGTAGGGGGCAAGGAACACAGGCAGTTCATGGATAAGTTCAGTTTTTGCAGTTCGCGTAGTTCCCAAAGCTCCACGGGGGGCTCGTCTAGACTACGCATGGCGAGGCTAAGCGTGCTGAAGCCAAAGTGAACAGTTGCATGACGCCGGATTCGCTCGGCTGCCGATGATAAGCCCTGGTCGTCAGGTCGCAAAGTGCTCCTTCGCCTCTGGTTAGCTTGGACTTCCTCTAACTCCTTACCGGACAGGCGAGACTGCTTTCCTCCCATTGTCTGTGCTACTGTGCAAGTTGACGCATAATTTTCAAGTTGCACAAAGTCTTGTCATCCAAAAGTGGTCCAGAAATGTGCTTCAATTTTTGGCAGAGAATTTTCCAGCCGCCTTCCCAGCTGTGTTGTCTAGCGTCTCTGTAACCAAGACTATGTGGAAGCACACGGTCTCGTCTCTTACGTCTTACTGTATTTCATTGCCCAGCTGGTCCTGTCACTTTACAAGTCCACAGATAGCCCACCGCCCCTTTTGCACCCCTCTGCCGCTTGCTATGGGCACACCATGACTTAACAGTGCTCACCATTTGGGCTCAAGCTGTTGAGGTCACTGCATGATCTCATACAAGCACGTGATTGCAAAATATTTTGTTTATTATCAAATATCCCTAACTTTTTACTGATTCATTTATACATTTTGGTTGTCCCATCGGAAAGAGTCTTGTAAAAAGGGGATATCTGTAATATTTTTATTTCAAAATACATCTACATGTTTTATGTGTCCCCAGACAAAAAGTACAAATCATATTTCACCTTTTCTGAACAAAAGTTTTCAAGCAGGTTATCCTATCAGAGAGCAGAATGAGTTTCGCATTTGGGTTGCCAGTTTGTTATTTAATTTGGCTGTTCTTGGTTCTTGGACCTTTTTAGATAAAAAAAACAAAAATAAATAAACATTCAAAAATTGTGTTAAAATGAAAACAAACAAAAATAGATTTTTTTTTGTACTACAAATAATCTGGACTATTTCTATGTAAACCCCAGCAGGTGGTTTGAATCAGTGATTATTATTTTGTTAATGACATCACAAGCAGTAAGTTCTGGCAACAACATTTATATTGTGATTGTAATGATTTTATTCAACAACTAAGAGTGTATTTTACATTCTGTTCCTTTAAGTTTCATTTTGTGAACAAATCAGACAACAACATGCTGTCTTCATCTTTGGCTGATTGGCTGAGTGGGGGCTGAAAAGCCAAAAATACTAAAAACTGTTTTAGAGCTAGAAACTAGTGAAATTAATCTTATTAAATGGTAATGTGTTGTTTTTTCAAAGTCAGATACTCATGCTTTAACTTGTAACATTATGTAAGCTCACCCCATGCATGTTACAAAACTTAAAAGTGGCACCAAGCTGTGAAAACATTTGATCACCGCTCAGAAAAGCAACAGAACTTAGCGAGATTAGCAGCAGCATATTCACGGACACGCGCTGGCATCATCTGAAGAGCAAAGGGACACGGCTATAACCATTCAGCAAATCATGAATATCACGCTCTTTGTTAAGTAACAGACAGGTGGGTGGAAAATAAGAATTAAGAGCTGCAGTTAATGAAGGCTCCAGTCACACATACAGTGTCGATTTAACATACTCAAAAGACTCCTGCTTCACTTCAACAAGCAAGTGGTTATTCAACAAATTGTGTTCTTGGACTTAAAAAAGGAACGGTAAAACTAAAAAAAACATGAATTGTATGTCACATTTGTATTTCAAATATACAAAGTAAACTCTGAAATGTAGAAAATCTTTCAAAAGTCAATTTACTTCTGTATATTAAGTAGCATGTATTTATGTCACACAAAGCACAATTTTTTGGTTCTACTAATAATATCCATTCAGTCCACATCTCACCATCCACCACCATCCATTATACGTTCAGGCCTATTATACATGTTTTTAGTGGTAGGAGAAACCAGTGCACCTGGGGGGAAACCTATGCATACACAAGAAGAACATACAAACTCCACAGAGAGGAGGAGGTAGAATCGCACTCAGGGCATGCTTGCCAAGTGCTAATCATTGCGTACCGTAATTCAACATACAACAGGGCTTAAAGAGTTCCGCCGTTTTCTTTTTTATAATACACACAAAAATGTTATCCCGAATGGAGCAATAACAGCCAGCAGCCCCGTAGTACAAACTGGGTGCGTTATCAGACGAAAGGTAGGGCATAGTTAATTGCTGTTAACCAAACGCAATGCTTTATTATTTAACGGAATGTACAATACGGACTTTGCTGGGACTGGGAATGGGGACAAACCATAGACTGTAAATATTAAAAACAAACTGTCTTGGTTGCGACCGCATGCAAAACTCAGCGTGATAAAATAGAGCCAATCAACGGGAGAGAACGGAAGGAACTCGCTGAAGAAAGGTGTGTTAGCGCGTCTTATATTAATTTATCTAAGCTAGCCTAGCATGCACACACAATCACAATCATGCATTCGTTGTTTATAGAAGGAGCAGTACAAGTTGCAATTGATAACGGAGTGAAAAATAAATGGAGGTGGCCATGGCTTGATGAGGTGGGAGACAATGGGATTCCGTTGCGGTCACAGTGCAAGATGAAGGTGGCCGGTGCTTGTGCGTACTGTATATGGGAGTAATGAGAAAACAGTTTTGATTCGCCACCAGCTCGAAACTGCGCACGAGGCAAAAATACAACTCAAAATTGTTCACCTTACTGAGATTTTTGCATTCACTGACAATAAAATTGCCAGTTAAAGCTGCAACTGTCTGTTGTGAGCCACTTGAACTCACTTTCAGAAGTTTCTGATGAAAAGTTCATCTTATTTGTGAGTTCAAGTGGCTCACAACAGACAGTTCCAGTTCCAACTGGCAATTTTTAAAAATCTGAGTAAGGTGAACAATTTTGAGTTGTCGTTTTTACAGTTCATTGAACTAGAGTGAGGTCAACTTATCTGCGTTTGCTCATTTAAATATTTGTCATGGCAACCAGCTGCATTCAACATTTTGAAAAAACTAATTTGACCAAAAAAATCATTGTGTTTGTTTTTACCAACCGTAATCGACAGGGCCAAGCCAAAGTAGCCCTATATATTCCCTGGGTCAGTCTTAGAGACATTAGTTTTCGCCACTAATCGGGCTCACAGTGTGTGCGGCACCGTGGCTGAGTGGATAGCACTCTTGCTTCTTGACACGAAGGTCCTGTGTTTGAATCCCGGTCGGAACAGGGTCTTTCTGAGTGGAATTTGCATGTTCTCTGTGTCTGCATAGGTTTCCTCCGGGTGCTCCGGTTTCCCCTACCCAAGTGACCTTGGTCTGTAAAATGGGCTATACAAATAAACATCATGATGGTTTAATGTGGGGACTATTTTAAACTAAAAAAAAATTGTAAGTTTTTACAGACTTGAAATTTCCAGTAACTTGAATTTAAAAACTTAGTTAGGCAGAACTTGGAAAAACTTATCTGACACAACTTGCTTGATCCACTTATATTTCATATCAAAATACACTTTTGTATATCTTTGAAGAATTCATTTGAGCTGTATTCAATATACAATCTATTATACAATAATATATTGTAATTAAAAATATAACTTGGTCCTGCATATTACTGTGATTTACTTGTGATAAATCTTTTTTTTTTGCTTTAACCCCTGTCATAGTGTGATAGTGTTATTATAGTGTGATAGTGTTATTATAGTGTGATAGTGTTATTATAGTGTGATAGTGTTGTTATAGTGTGATAGTGTTGTTATAGTGTGATAGTGTTGTTATAGTGTGATAGTGTTATTATAGTGTGATAGTGTTATTATAGTGTGATAGTGTTATTATAGTGTGATAGTGTTGTTATAGTGTGATAGTGTTATTATAGTGTGATAGTGTTGTTATAGTGTGATAGTGTTGTTATAGTGTGATAGTGTTGTTATAGTGTGATAGTGTTGTTATAGTGTGATAGTGTTATTATAGTGTGATAGTGTTGTTATAGTGTGATAGTGTTATTATAGTGTGATAGTGTTGTTATAGTGTGATAGTGTTGTTATAGTGTGATAGTGTTATTATAGTGTGATAGTGTTGTTATAGTGTGATAGTGTTGTTATAGTGTGATAGTGTTATTATAGTGTGATAGTGTTGTTATAGTGTGATAGTGTTATTATAGTGTGATAGTGTTATTATAGTGTGATAGTGTTGTTATAGTGTGATAGTGTTGTTATAGTGTGATAGTGTTGTTATAGTGTGATAGTGTTGTTATAGTGTGATAGTGTTGTTATAGTGTGATAGTGTTGTTATAGTGTGATAGTAGTAGTAAGTAAGTAAGTGTTTATTTATATACCGCCTTTTCACTGCAGATCTGAGTCTCAAAGCGGTTTACAATTGTTAATTTTTGGGCAATTGTCTCTCACTCCACACAGAGATGGGAGCGGGGCCAGTACAGGAGGCACATGCCAGAACTATTGGACATATTTTTAGTGGTAGGGGAAACCGGAGTACCCGGAGGAAACCTACGCAGACACGGGGAGAACATGCAAACTCCACTCAGAAAGGCCCTGGTCCGACCGGGATTCGAACCCAGGACCTTCTTGCTGAGAGGCGAGAGTGCTATCCACTCAGCCACCGTGCCGCCATAGTGTTATTATAGTGTGATAGTGTTGTTATAGTGTGATAGTGTTATTATAGTGTGATAGTGTTATTATAGTGTGATAGTGTTATTATAGTGTGATAGTGTTATTATAGTGTGATAGTGTTATTATAGTGTGATAGTGTTATTATAGTGTGATAGTGTTGTTATAGTGTGATAGTGTTATTATAGTGTGATAGTGTTGTTATAGTGTGATAGTGTTATTATAGTGTGATAGTGTTATTATAGTGTGATAGTGTTGTTATAGTGTGATAGTGTTGTTAGTGTGATAGTGTTATTATAGTGTGATAGTGTTATTATAGTGTGATAGTGTTGTTATAGTGTGATAGTGTTGTTAGTGTGATAGTGTTATTATAGTGTGATAGTGTTATTATAGTGTGATAGTGTTGTTATAGTGTGATAGTGTTATTATAGTGTGATAGTGTTATTATAGTGTGATAGTGTTATTATAGTGTGATAGTGTTATTATAGTGTGATAGTGTTGTTATAGTGTGATAGTGTTGTTATAGTGTGATAGTGTTGTTATAGTGTGATAGTGTTGTTAGTGTGATAGTGTTATTATAGTGTGATAGTGTTATTATAGTGTGATAGTGTTGTTATAGTGTGATAGTGTTGTTATAGTGTGATAGTGTTGTTATAGTGTGATAGTGTTGTTATAGTGTGATAGTGTTATTATAGTGTGATAGTGTTGTTATAGTGTGATAGTGTTGTTATAGTGTGATAGTGTTATTATAGTGTGATAGTGTTGTTATAGTGTGATAGTGTTGTTATAGTGTGATAGTGTTGTTATAGTGTTGTTATAGTGTGATAGTGTTATTATAGTGTGATAGTGTTGTTATAGTGTGATAGTGTTGTTATAGTGTGATAGTGTTGTTATAGTGTGATAAAACAATAGAATGAATATTATAAACGCCAAACGCAAAGCTGTTGTTGACACTAGTTCCAGACATCAGTAATAAACTCTTCATGTATTACAGTCCAAAGCTGTGCAGTGTTTGTGGTCCTGGTCCTGGTCCTGACAGCTGTCACGACGCCACTGTACAAAGTGTGTTAGCTTAGCATTTAGCTTAGCATTTAGCTTAGCATTTAGCTTAGCATTTAGCTTAGCATTTAGCTTAGCATGTCGCCAATTCTTAGCCTGTATAAACATTTGCGGAACTATACTGGGCACATACGCTGAGGGAACGCCTTACGTGAGACTGTTCTCATGTTTACATCAAAGAATGAGCTCTAACTAGCTCTAATTTAGTTCTAACTAGCTCTAACTAGCTCCGGTGCGTGGGCTGCAGCGCACGTAAACACGGCGGGCCTCACACCCACCCGGTCCCACCCGGTCCCACCCGGTCCCACCCGGTCCTAACGCCGTGTTCTGAGCCGCTCCGAGCCGCTCCAAACTGTTTAGGTGAAGAATGATGTTTATGAAGAGAAGCGACACTAAAGCTTTATTCTGAGTGTGCTGATGTGTCTGTCAGATTACATAACAGCCTCCTCTGCTTTCAGCCTCTCCGCTCAGTCCGATGGGAGTGAATAAATAAACCTCCGCTGGAGACATTTCCCGAGTGGAGCCGTGTTCGGGGCCCGGGGTCTGGGCATGTCCTACACCCGGCGGACACCGTAGCCACGACCAGGCTTCTCAAAGATGACAAGGTCTGTGTGCAGAGGAGGAAGGGCTGCCATTTTTACACTATTCTACTTTTATTTAAGATGCCTCTAAATCAACTTCATCTGTTTTGGTATTAGGCTGTAGACCCAGGACTGAGGCTGTAGACCCAGGACTGAGGCTGTAGACCCAGGACTGAGGCCGTAGACCCAGGACTGAGGCTGTAGACCCAGGACTGAGGCTGTAGACCCAGGACTGAGGCTGTAGACCCAGGACTGAGGCTGTAGACCCAGGACTGAGGCTGTAGACCCAGGACTGAGGCTGTAGACCCAGGACTGAGACTGTAGATCCAGGACTGAGACTGTAGATCCAGGACTGAGACTGTAGACCCAGGACTGAGACTGTAGACCCAGGACTGAGGCTGTAGATCCAGGACTGAGGCTGTAGACCCAGGACTGAGGCTGTAGACCCAGGACTGAGGCTGTAGACCCAGGACTGAGACTGTAGACCCAGGACTGAGGCTGTAGACCCAGGACTGAGGCTGTAGACCCAGGACTGAGGCCGTAGACCCAGGACTGAGGCCGTAGACCCAGGACTGAGGCTGTAGACCCAGGACTGAGGCTGTAGACCCAGGACTGAGGCTGTAGACCCAGGACTGAGACTGTAGACCCAGGACTGAGGCTGTAGACCCAGGACTGAGGCTGTAGATCCAGGACTGAGGCTGTAGACCCAGGACTGAGGCTGTAGACCCAGGACCGAGGCTGTAGATCCAGGACTGAGGCTGTAGATCCAGGACTGAGGCTGTAGATCCAGGACTGAGACTGTAGATCCAGGACTGAGACTGTAGACCCAGGACTGAGGCTGTAGACCCAGGACTGAGGCTGTAGATCCAGGACTGAGGCTGTAGACCCAGGACTGAGGCTGTAGACCCAGGACTGAGGCTGTAGACCCAGGACTGAGACTGTAGACCCAGGACTGAGGCTGTAGACCCAAGACTGAGGCTGTAGACCCAGGACTGAGGCTGTAGACCCAGGACTGAGGCTGTAGACCCAGGACTGAGGCTGTAGACCCAGGACTGAGGCTGTAGACCCAGGACTGAGGCTGTAGACCCAGGACTGAGGCTGTAGACCCAGGACTGAGACTGTAGACCCAGGACTGAGGCTGTAGACCCAGGACTGAGGCTGTAGACCCAGGACTGAGGCTGTAGACCCAGGACTGAGGCGTAGACCCAGGACTGAGGCTGTAGACCCAGGACTGAGGCTGTAGACCCAGGACTGAGGCTGTAGACCCAGGACTGAGGCTGTAGACCCAGGACTGAGGCTGTAGACCCAGGACTGAGGCTGTAGACCCAGGACTGAGGCTGTAGACCCAGGACTGAGGCTGTAGACCCAGGACTGAGGCTGTAGACCCAGGACTGAGGCTGTAGACCCAGGACTGAGGCTGTAGACCCAGGACTGAGGCTGTAGACCCAGGACTGAGGCTGTAGACCCAGGACTGAGGCTGTAGACCCAGGACTGAGGCCGTAGACCCAGGACTGAGGCTGTAGACCAGGACTGAGGCTGTAGACCCAGGACTGAGGCTGTAGACCCAGGACTGAGGCTGTAGATCTAGGACTGAGGCTGTAGACCCAGGACTGAGGCTGTAGACCCAGGACTGAGACTGTAGACCCAGGACTGAGGCTGTAGACCCAGGACTGAGGCTGTAGACCCAGGACTGAGACTGTAGACCCAGGACTGAGGCTGTAGACCCAGGACTGAGGCTGTAGACCCAGGACTGAGGCTGTAGACCCAGGACTGAGGCTGTAGACCCAGGACTGAGACTGTAGACCCAGGACTGAGACTGTAGACCCAGGACTGAGGCTGTAGACCCAGGACTGAGACTGTAGACCCAGGACTGAGGCTGTAGACCCAGGACTGAGACTGTAGACCCAGGACTGAGACTGTAGACCCAGGACTGAGACTGTAGACCCAGGACTGAGGCTGTAGACCCAGGACTGAGACTGTAGACCCAGGACTGAGACTGTAGACCCAGGACTGAGGCTGTAGACCCAGGACTGAGACTGTAGACCCAGGACTGAGACTGTAGACCCAGGACTGAGGCTGTAGACCCAGGACTGAGACTGTAGACCCAGGACTGAGGCTGTAGACCCAGGACTGAGGCTGTAGACCCAGGACTGAGGCTGTAGACCCAGGACTGAGACTGTAGACCCAGGACTGAGACTGTAGACCCAGGACTGAGGCTGTAGACCCAGGACTGAGACTGTAGACCCAGGACTGAGGCTGTAGACCCAGGACTGAGGCTGTAGACCCAGGACTGAGACTGTAGACCCAGGACTGAGGCTGTAGACCCAGGACTGAGGCTGTAGACCCAGGACTGAGACTGTAGACCCAGGACTGAGGCTGTAGACCCAGGACTGAGGCTGTAGACCCAGGACTGAGGCTGTAGACCCAGGACTGAGACTGTAGACCCAGGACTGAGGCTGTAGACCCAGGACTGAGACTGTAGACCCAGGACTGAGACTGTAGACCCAGGACTGAGGCTGTAGACCCAGGACTGAGACTGTAGACCCAGGACTGAGGCTGTAGACCCAGGACTGAGGCTGTAGACCCAGGACTGAGACTGTAGACCCAGGACTGAGGCTGTAGACCCAGGACTGAGGCTGTAGACCCAGGACTGAGACTGTAGACCCAGGACTGAGGCTGTAGACCCAGGACTGAGACTGTAGACCCAGGACTGAGACTGTAGACCCAGGACTGAGGCTGTAGACCCAGGACTGAGGCTGTAGACCCAGGACTGAGGCTGTAGACCCAGGACTGAGGCTGTAGACCCAGGACTGAGACTGTAGACCCAGGACTGAGACTGTAGACCCAGGACTGAGGCTGTAGACCCAGGACTGAGACTGTAGACCCAGGACTGAGGCTGTAGACCCAGGACTGAGGCTGTAGACCCAGGACTGAGACTGTAGACCCAGGACTGAGGCTGTAGACCCAGGACTGAGGCTGTAGACCCAGGACTGAGGCTGTAGACCCAGGACTGAGGCTGTAGACCCAGGACTGAGGCTGTAGACCCAGGACTGAGGCTGTAGACCCAGGACTGAGGCTGTAGACCCAGGACTGAGGCTGTAGACCCAGGACTGAGGCTGTAGACCCAGGACTGAGGCTGTAGACCCAGGACTGAGGCTGTAGACCCAGGACTGAGGCTGTAGACCCAGGACTGAGGCTGTAGACCCAGGACTGAGGCTGTAGACCCAGGACTGAGGCTGTAGACCCAGGACTGAGGCTGTAGACCCAGGACTGAGGCTGTAGACCCAGGACTGAGGCCGTAGACCCAGGACTGAGACTGTAGACCCAGGACTGAGGCTGTAGACCCAGGACTGAGACTGTAGACCCAGGACTGAGGCTGTAGACCCAGGACTGAGACTGTAGACCCAGGACTGAGACTGTAGACCCAGGACTGAGGCTGTAGACCCAGGACTGAGGCTGTAGACCCAGGACTGAGGCTGTAGACCCAGGACTGAGGCTGTAGACCCAGGACTGAGACTGTAGACCCAGGACTGAGACTGTAGACCCAGGACTGAGGCTGTAGACCCAGGACTGAGACTGTAGACCCAGGACTGAGGCTGTAGACCCAGGACTGAGGCTGTAGACCCAGGACTGAGGCTGTAGACCCAGGACTGAGGCTGTAGACCCAGGACTGAGGCTGTAGACCCAGGACTGAGGCTGTAGACCCAGGACTGAGACTGTAGACCCAGGACTGAGGCTGTAGACCCAGGACTGAGGCTGTAGACCCAGGACTGAGGCTGTAGACCCAGGACCGAGACTGTAGACCCAGGACCGAGACTGTAGACCCAGGACTGAGGCTGTAGACCCAGGACTGAGGCTGTAGACCCAGGACTGAGGCTGTAGACCCAGGACTGAGGCTGTAGACCCAGGACCGAGACTGTAGACCCAGGACCGAGACTGTGACCCAGGACTGAGGCTGTAGACCCAGGACTGAGGCTGTAGACCCAGGACTGAGGCTGTAGACCCAGGACTGAGGCTGTAGACCCAGGACTGAGGCTGTAGACCCAGGACTGAGGCTGTAGACCCAGGACTGAGGCTGTAGACCCAGGACTGAGGCTGTAGACCCAGGACTGAGCGTAACCAGAGCTGAGACCCCAGGACTGAGGACTGAGCTTAGACCCAGGACTGAGGCTTAGACCAGGACTGAGACTGTAGACCCAGGACTGAGACTGTAGACCCAGGACTGAGGACTGAGGCTGTAGACCCAGGACTGAGGCTGTAGACCCAGGACTGAGGCTGTAGACCCAGGACTGAGACTGTAGACCCAGGACTGAGACTGTAGACCCAGGACTGAGGCTGTAGACCCAGGACTGAGGCTGTAGACCCAGGACTGAGGCTGTAGACCCAGGACTGAGGCTGTAGACCCAGGACTGAGACTGTAGACCCAGGACTGAGACTGTAGACCCAGGACTGAGGCTGTAGACCCAGGACTGAGACTGTAGACCCAGGACCGAGGCTGTAGACCCAGGACTGAGACTGACCCAGGACTGAGACTGTAGACCCAGGACTGAGGCTGTAGACCCAGGACTGAGGCTGTAGACCCAGGACTGAGGCTGTAGACCCAGGACTGAGGCTGTAGACCCAGGACTGAGGCTGTAGACCCAGGACTGAGGCTGTAGACCCAGGACTGAGGCTGTAGACCCAGGACTGAGGCTGTAGACCCAGGACTGAGGCTGTAGACCCAGGACTGAGGCTGTAGACCCAGGACTGAGACTGTAGACCCAGGACTGAGACTGTAGACCCAGGACTGAGGCTGTAGACCCAGGACCGAGGCTGTAGACCCAGGACTGAGACTATAGACCCAGGACTGAGACTGTAGACCCAGGACTGAGGCTGTAGACCCAGGACTGAGGCTGTAGACCCAGGACT